CCCCGGGCAGGAAAGATACGAAACGTCAGCAGGAGAGGACATCTGCGTCTCGTTTAGAAAGAGCAGAGTCAGCTTCGCCATCTCGAGATGTTAGTGGATTCCAATAAATTCCCATCTTCTTCATTTATAAAAGACTTTGTTTTAAGTTCCGCAATAATATTTTCTAGTTTAGCTACTTTTTTGATAAATGCCTACTTTGTTCTCGAAGACTCTTTAATTTTTCAATTATTGGAATGATAGTTTTTCCGAGTGTTTCCGTTTCTTTCGCAACGTTCGAAGAGTGTACTCTGGAATCTTGTCCTAAAACCTGAAAAACCTTTTAATAACCATAATTTTGTTACTGCAGACACAATATTTTCTGGTTTAAATACTTACTAGTGACAGTCGTTTAGAAATCGGAAGGTTTACTATTTCAACTGGCTTTTGATTACTAGTCGATGGCAGTAGATCGACAGCAGGATCAATATGAAATCAACTGATTTGTATATTAAATCTGCCACACTTTTGGTTTCATAACTTCCCTTGATCAAACGGCTTGATAATGAATTAATGTACCTAGATGTAAAATTATTTTAATACTGTATAATACATTGCAAAATATTGTATTAAGTCGAGGGAAAATAATATATATTTTTATTTAATATTGTTTATGTACTTGAATGCTTCAATTATTTTCAATTTCGTGAATACTTATGGAACTGAGACGTGGTCCTTTACTGCTGGCCTTATGAGGACGCTCAAGTGCACTCAGTGAGCTATGCCTCTTCATAGCTCACTGAGATGCTATGCTCGGAGTTTCTGTACGTGATAAACTTAGAAATGAGGATATCCGCAGTAGAACCAGAATGTCCGACATAGCCCAACGGATTAGTAAGCTAAATTTCAATGGGCCGGCCATATATCTCGAATAACTGACAACCTATGGGGGGAAAAGATTCACGAGTGGCAGCCTCGTACTGGTAGGCGTAGTATAGGGCAACCTCCTACTTGACGGAGTGACGACTCATGAGTCATGCAGGAAGTCGATGGATGCAGGCGGCTCAGGACCGTGCTTTGTGGTGTTCCTCAGGAGAGGCTTATGTTCAGCAGTGGATTTGTGAAGGGCTGTAATGATGATGACGATGATGAAAAAAGTGGTTGAACTATCGGAGTATCAAACGTTTTACACTTTTGATAGCAGGATCAATCATCAATGAAATGAAAATAACTTAGGTGGTGAGCCAAAACGCTTGCACTAATAAAGCTGCTCCCTGTCACTAACCGATCACCAGGGCTTCATCTAGTAATAATCGGCAGGGTGCACGGCGTTTAGATAAAGTTAACATTTCAATATGTTAAAATTTCTTACACACCTTTTTTTAATATTTAAACACTTATAATTGTTTGTAAGTCTAAATCGAATACCTACACCACTAATGCCAGACATGTCAAAATGTAGTGTATTTTTGTGCAAATTAATATCAGAAATATCCGGTTTACAAAACAACACATTTCTTTCCACTTGTAAATACTTGTACACTTGTATATTTCATAAAAATAATATCGAACTATACACTAATTGAGTTCATTCCTATTTAATTGCAAAGACTGAGAAGTTCTACTGAGAGATGTTCACATCGTCATTGGAATCATAAGCAAGTGTGAGATTCAAGAACAAGCTTCATTCAAGCAACCTAAATAAATCACCGAAACTCTTGAATGGTGAATTAATAGACGTTTTCATGCTACTGGTTTTGTAAGGATCCGATTCAACATCAATTGCAAGGTACATCAGAATCACTAGAGGACCTGTTCACTATGCTCAATGACCTCGGTGGTGTTTGTTAACAGATTGGTTATGATGAGATGAACATGGACAGAACAAAGCACTTAAGAAAACAGAAACACGCACTACGGCTGAAGTTATTGACGAGTATGGTCATCATGATGATGATCATAAATATGTATTTAATTGATGTATGTTGCAAATAATTATCAAATTTTATTGAATTTGACTTTGCAATACGTGTAAGGACGTATGCATATTAAAAAGTATTTAGTGAAAATACAAACTTAGCAGACTAGGCTGTATGATTTATGATCTTTCCCGGTTTAACTAACGAATCGTCAAATAATCATAGCCATAGGTAATAATTCTATTCTAATCTATTATCATACATTCGTAGAGAGAGAAACCTCTGTCTACGAATACAACAAAAGAACAACAACAATCATTGTCAAGCGTCAATTTCAATTGCAGATTGCAGTTGAACGTATGGAGTGTAGAGGTAAGGAGAACAATCTCTCATAGGCATGGGAGAATAGTTGAAAAAGTGTCCATCTATAAGCAATGATTAACAGTTCAAAAACTCTCCACAACAGCGCTGGAGTAGCTACAGGAAACAGCTAAGTGAAATGAACTTAGCAGTTGTTGACGGTGTGAAGTGTGCTACTAAACTGCTCAGTAGCTCTAAAATCTGAAATAACTGTATTTAGTAGGTAATTATAACCTCGAAAAAAGTCATCTACCCCACTAATATTTTTCGGCGTGTTCTTTAAAATTTACCACGTAGCTATAGTGGCGCCACCTTTATTTAACGGTTTACTCCGTATACTTTTTAATACCCAGTCTGTACTTACTCCTTATTCCTTTTAAAAATGTCTTAAAATAATGTGTTTTAAAAAATATTAGTAATCCTATTACTGACATTTTTTTATAAAAATAATATTAATAGTGCTGTAAACATTACTAATATTCCCCTTAACCCCTCCTGGTAAGCTGAAAATGCTCATGTTAGGAGTGGTTCACGACAGTTTTCGAATGGTGGATTCGAACCCACGACCTTTTTTGAGTTCGCGGTCCGCACCTTGCCATTAGGCTACTGTCGCTTCAACTCCTACCTCTACACTCCATAGTTGAGGAGTTTTGGCGGGAACTTGGCCGACGACGGACTGTCGCTCCTGTTTTGTCGCTTGAAAAATGGTTTTAAGTGAATTTTAATTCGTAAAAGTGATGTAAATTAAGTGTCTGCACCTTTTAGAATTTAATGTTCAAAAGTTTATGTGGATATCGTATAAGATGGCACTAGTATCTTTGCAAATTGTTGGATCCCAACCTAAAGTATGGAAGTGTACCCCCCTTGTGTGAACTATTAGAGAAAACGACGAAACAAGTGCTTTGATGTTAATATAAACCTCAAGTTAATTTGATCGCTTGGGCGCCTTATGAACTTGAGTGGCTGTCGTCAATAGTCCGCTCAGCTCAACCCAGATATAAAAAAACTTCGCAATGTGACGCATCAGCATATTGTGAAGAAAAAATATATAAAATGTTCAATCCAAAGTTCAAATCCTTAAAGAAATGATAGGCTCAGAAGGGCTAGCACCCAGAGCAGTAAAGCCAGTTAAATAAATAAAAAAACACTCCATAGTTGAACGAATCAAACGTTCCTTAACCTATCACTCACTGCGCCCGCCATAACAAAAAACAGCTTCGTACCGAGGCGTCCGTCGTCACTTCAGCTGGCGGCACTTGTTTTAAATATTTATGTTTCTCACGACCTTTCATTTATGCTTAAAGAGGTTTTAGTTACAGTTATTTAAAGCCGATAAGATTTTCGATAAGTAGAAACAATAACCATAACATATAAATGTTTATTTTATTTTGTACTAACGGATCTCTTTGTTTCTAACGGATCTTGATAAAGTGTACTTACTGACGATAAATTTTATTTTATGAATGAAATATCGTAAGTCTTTATTTTATTTTTATGTCCTTACAATCAATACAACATATTCTTCCTAAATGAACCTAAATTATGCATGTAATAATTATAATAATTCCACTTTTTCACTTGCAAACATTTGCTAAAAATTCGACAATAGACAGTTTGCGCGCGCTTACTAAACTCATTTTCAAAACCTTTTTGTGTATATATTTTATGTCGTCTTCCTTTATTTTTCTTATACAATCATATAGATATAACATTTAGCAATTACTAGTAAAAGTATTTACTATGGTATTCCAATAAGAAATATACTATTATTATCTTATTAGAATCTTATTAGAAATCTTGATCGTTACGAATTGTTCGCGTAGAGGTTTTATATTTCTACTTTTTTATCAATTGAAACATAAAAAGTTACTGTTGTTGTAACTTAAATCATTCAAAAACATTACGTAGTAAAGATAAATAACATTACTTACAGTTTTTTTGAAAGAAAATCCAACTAAAATCACAATCACAAAACTTCAACGATTACGCAACCAACCGCACCGGCACGCAAAAGCGAATGGCTGTTATATTTGATGATGTCTATGTAACCGAGTGAATATAATGCTACAGAATATTCTTTAGTTCGTTCAGAATCTAATGAAATAGTGTTCAATCGAAAATATAATGCATTTTTATATCAATTAATGACGAAAATAGCAGCACGTAATGCTGACATGTATACATGTCTTCTGTACTTAGTGTTCACAAAACTTGGACCTGTCAACATGTCCACGGTATCTTAGGGGAGAAATGATAGGCTCAGAAGGGCTAGTACCCAGAGCAGTAAAGCCAGTTAAATAAAAAAACACTCCATAGTTGAACGAATCAAATCAAGTCTGATCAAATCGGATCAAATCAAATAACTTCTGTTGTCATTGGTCTGTTGTCTGTAGTATATACTTTCAGTTATCTATGGTCAGTTGCATAGAGTAGGTGCATTATATGGTCAGTAGTGTTGCTAACATAGATAAATAAATATGTAGCAAGGTTGCTAACGGTGTTTTGGGTGATGTAGTCACCTGCTCGGTGTTGTTATCAATAACATAAATATTGATATACCTAAATTTTATCGAAACGCTACAGGGACTTCTATCTTACCACACAATTGAATCGATCGTATCCATTGCGAATTATCTAAGATTGGATTTAAATGTATCCGTGAGATGACGCGCTCTTTAGTCAACATTCAACAAAGTGAATTTTTTATTGTTTGACCGGTTCTTCACATAAAATTTTTAAGTGAAAATGTCTTCGCAACAGAGAGAAACTGTGGTTTCAGTGCCGCTCACACCGACACGGTCGGATTTGTACTGGAGACGAATTTTCAACAAAGTAAGTTGTCTTGAATATTTTACAGATTCCGAACTTTCTCTTTTTTGACACAATTACCCTACTAAAATACATTATTTACACAATTGCTATTTACGGTTCTCATTCGTTAACAGTTATGCTAAAAAAAAACTAGTTTTAAGTTAGTATTATTATAATACACATCATATTATGTATAGAATTTCTGTGATGGAACTATTCTTACGCATGTAAAATATTTAAAACTTCTAATTAATCTATGATTCAAATTAATTAAAGATTTAATTTAAATTCGTTATTAAAATTTTGTACACTAAAACCTTTTTCGGAAATTTGTTTACTTAACTTAAAAAAAAAAAGAATTTTGTTGAATGTTTTATATTTCACCATTTTTTATAATAAAGCCTGAAAATCAGAAAATGGTCCCACCATTTCACACCAAACAAGTTTTAATATTTACTATTTTTTTAATATCTGCATTTAACTTACAATTTATTTTTCTTTGTACATGTATAGTTAAGTTTTGATATTAGCTAAGTTATGCTTCTTATAATATTATATTGAATTGTCAGTTCCCACCAAAATTTTGTAAAGAAGTGGATAAATAAATATCTCTTTCTTTCTTTCTAATAAACAATATTTATTACCTTAATAAAAATAAAACTTAAACTAAAAATTTAAATTATCATACAGTTCGACTCTCCATGGTATACTGTTTTAGTAGCTTGCTTTTAAGCTTAATGCAGATATGCATTAGTTAAATTGGTAATAAAAATGTTAAACCACCATATACATAATCTGAAAACATTACTCAAAATTTTTAATTTATAATTCCAAATGAACTTCTGAGATCTTCTATTTACATACAAACAAATTTTACTGCAGGAATGTAAAACTGGCTTATTTTCTGTTTGTGGTATTTTTTTATAAAACAAAATAGTTGTTGGTCGGTTTTTTTTGTTAGTATGTTTTTTTTTGTTTTATGTTAGTTTTAAGTTTTCCAAAAGACCAAAAGTCAGATAGGAGATATTTCCAGTAGTTACTTAGGATAAATGACGCCCAAACTGTGTATCTAATAAAAATTTTGATCTAAGAAAGAACAAATTTAAGTAATAAATAATAGAATATTCATTATTAAAAATAATAATAATATTTATTTATTTCGCTAAAAAGAAAAAAATGTCACACAATCACAATCAGTCATTAGTAATAAAATGAGAAACAAAACTTAAGCTAAAACAGTCTTGAAAAGTCTTGCTTTAAAAATTAATTATCGTTCTTAAAATTACTTAAAATTTTGAGATGCAATAAAACTTAAAATAATCTTAGTAAGTTCTCATATTTTTCCAGCATGTTAAATCACATTTTTCTTATTAGGAATGTTTTTTATATTATGTGTGAGCAGCTATGCAGGTCAACAAAACGTTTTTTTTTTTTGTTGTTTCGCCCTGTCTTGTTTACTGTAAGCAATTTTACTTCTTCTAGAGTACATAGTTTCCCAGATGAGTGTTACGTTTGTGCATTAAAGGTCCGCACTCAGTTATGATGTGCAGAGGCGTTTCTTCCGTTATGTAACAGAACCTATACATCCTTGAGTTGCTTAGTCCCGGGGTGGACATGTGCTTTTTAAGACACAGTGTCCAGTTAGGTCTCTTGCCAGAATACGCAATTTAGTTTTCTTTAATCCCAGCTTTTGTTTTTGCTTAATGAGCGTTACAATCAAAAGACTGGATTAAGGTTTTAGAATGTTTTAAGCCCGGTGTATCAGACCAGACCTTAAGTGATTTATTGTGATAAAGAATTTCAAGGGTAAACCGGGCTAGAGATTCCATAAATAGCTCAGGTTCAAATTGTGAACTCTTTAACCCCCACGTGTGGTTGTACAATACCCGCGTGACCTAGAACCCATCTTAAGACGACCCTGTTGTTATATCTCATGGCGTTTAAACAGTTCATGCAGTCTCCAACTAGCTTTGAGTTCACTAAGTTTGACCTCAGCGCTAGCAGTGCTGCTTGACTATCGGAGTTTATATAAATTATATGGCTGACATAGTGTTTTGCAAATTGATTTCCGCACACTGAAGTATGGCAAAAATTTCTGCCTGAAAGATAGAGGTAAATCTACCCAAGTTTGTACTAATTTTGTACTTGGGACTTTCCCCATAAATTCCAAAGCCTACGTTGAGGCCCATTTTTGACCCATCAGTATACCATATGAGAATACTGACCTCATAGATAACCTGGCCATTCAGCCAGTCTTCTTTGGAGGGTAGTTTCACTGTATACTTTTTATCAAAAGTGTATAGTGGATGCATGATATCTGAGATCATGCATAAGACCGGTGTTTCCTTAAGTGTGTCGAGCATGGATCTTAATCTGTGGGAGAGCAAGCTCAAACCGCCCCGGGCGTTAGTCCTATACAAACTAGCCTTCGCCTCCTTGTCTTGCTAAAGATCAAGGGGCGTTAAGGAATGGAAGTGTATTAAAAGCCGCTCCAGGTGATGATCGCATAGCTCCAGTTGCCATTAAGTCTTTATGTGACTTGGTTTTATAGTCTGTCTGTCTGCTTCAAGACTATATCGGTGTGTTGCGCCAATTTGATATACAATTAATTAACGACAATGTCTGGAAGTGGTAAAGGTGGTAAAGTGAAGGGAAAGGCAAAGTCCCGTTCGAATCAGCCTGTTTACAATGCCCTGTTGGATGTATTCACAGGCTGCTGCGAAAGGGAAATTACGCAAAACATGTGGGTGCCTGTGCTCCTGTGTACCTAGCCACTGTCATGGAGTACATCGCGGCTGAAGTTCTCGAGTTGGCCGGTAATGCTGCTCGGTACAGTAAGAAGACCAGAATCATACTTTAACCTAAAATAAATCATAGCTTATAATCTTATTTGGATACCTATTTTATGAAACAAATTCGGTGAAGCACTTTTTGTTTATGAAAACACTAAAAACTTACTTTTGAATGCCAAACGCCAGAATACTGAATAGCCGCGTATGCGCGCCTCGTGAAAACAGTTAGGAGAAATTTTCAGCAAAAATAGGGCGGTAAAATTTAGATGGTATTTCTCCGATCAGATTGTGACGAAACTAACAAGTATTTTATTTAGGAGGTTAATGTATTCTATTGGTTCTCATATCTGTCAAAGGATGGCATTGAAAAAGGTTTTGCGAAAAAATGCGAGTTAGGAGGTATCAGAAGTTCACGGACGACATGCAAGTTAAAGGCTCGAAATTTTCTCATTTGACTCATGCTTTACTACCTGTACTATATTATGTATTCTGTGGTTTTACTCACATATGGAATATAGAATTTTGTGAAGTATATCCTATCTTTTGAATGGATAAAAGTATGTCATTATTTCTTTGCGAATAATTTGACTTAAGTACATATTTATTATTACACTATTTTCCTACCTAAAGTTTATTTTTTGCAGACTTCCTTGCCTAACATTTTCTAGCATAATTTTTTACTTCTAACTACCAAACTTTTACAACTTTTAAAACTTTTATATTTGGTAGAGCCACACTGCAGCTATATTATGGTTGTAGCACAATGAGTCGGCTCGACCAGGGAAGGACCGTGCTGTCACAGAATACCAGCGTAAAATAGCAGCTTAAAGCTGCTGTGTTTCGTATGGTGTGTGTAGCGAACCAGAGACCTAGTATAGGTCTATGTGAAACAGTCCACTGCGACTACAAGTAAATTAAACAGCAAATGTGGCAAAATTTACAATAGTTTCTTATATTTACACGAACACTACACATTGAATAAAACTACTTTTACGGATTTTATCGCATTTAATATTACTTATTTTTAATTCCCTTAAAAACTTAATAAAAAAAAAGTGATATACACTATCTGTAAACACTAGGAACAAACACAAGCTAGTGTTACAAGTTTCTCGACTCCACAGAGTCAGTAATTCATTCTTGGGGTACTCTATTACAACAAAGTCCCAGAAAGTATACAAGGTCTCTCTATTACTAAGTTTAAATGTTTAATTAAACAAAAACTCTATAAAAGGGTTATTACAATATAAATTAATACTAGGTTCATAATAACCCCTGGGAATGAGGTGGTCTCTTCCAAGCTGTTTCTAAAATAAATTTTGTAGAAATTTTGTGACCATTGACATGGTAAAATTTATTTAAAAAAAATTCCCGCTGGGTTTCTTGCTGGTTCTTTCCAGGACAGAGCATTTTTTCGAACCAGTGGTAAAGTAAAAAATTGACTTTCTGTAAGAATTACCTTGTAATCTTACATTGAATAAAAAATATTCTATTCTATTGCCAATATTTCGTGTGCTTTGCAGCACACATGTTCACCGGGGTGGGGGACACATCTCGATGTCAATCACATTATTTTTACATAAACACTCACGCCTGTCACCCAATATTTTTATTCAATGGCAAAATTTAAATAACGATTAGTTAACTCCTGTGCGGGGTTACCTCTGTGGGGTAGTGCCAAGGAAGTGTGGCGATAAGAATCGGGGTTCTTTTTAATTAAATCTACTTACAAGTCACATTCAAAATAATTTCCTTTTATAATAGTTGACGAAGAAGAAAGTATAACTTCTATAGCTTATGGTAATTTGTAGAATCAGGCGATACTTTGCGGAATCTATTGTATTAAAGATGTTAGAAATTAATTAGCTAAGATCCGCGTCATAAAAAAAATTATGTGTCTTATATGTACATATGGTTTAGAGAGCACCTGCCGCCCTCCCTCAATTTCGTGCACTATCCCCGTCACCTGTAATCCGAACAGAGTCTTTTTTACTTTTTTTTTGCGCCCGAAGCAATTAAAGGGCTACCCTATATGTAGGGAGGCGGAAAATGCGTTACGCATACCACGATAGCCGGTCTATCGTGGTTATGAGGGACTCACTGCCTACCGGGGGAACCTAAGTGTTACCCTCTAAAAACCGCCTTTGGGGACTGGCAACTGGCTGTTTAAGCTTTCTTATGCCGTATCGGGAGCGACCCTCTTTTGGGAAAAGAGGGCGCAGGCGGCTA